CCCCAAAACCCCAAAACCCCAAAACCCCAATTAAAAATCTGCAAAAAATTTTATTTTATGGAATTCAGATATAATTTGATTTTGCACTTTTAATTATTTTTATGAGAATTAACTTAATTAATAAAAAATATCAAAGTTTAATTACGAATGGAAAACTTGATTTCTTTAAAGATAAAAGATACTGTTTTGCTTTATGATTCACTTACTAAGCTTGATGGAGGAGCCTTCGGGGAAGTTTTTATTGCTTGAAAAAGAAACAGCCACCAAGATTCAGAATAGAGTTAATATGTTGCTCTTAAAGTTTAGCATTTAAAGAAACTTAGAGAATGCAATGATCAACAAATTTCAGCCGAATTGCTCAGACTATTCAGAGAAATATCTTGTAATTAGCTTCATCATCCCAATATAGTCAAAACTTTTGACTCCTACTTCACATATGATGGAGGATTCGTAATGACGAGTGAATTAGCTTAGGAAAATTTGCAATCGTATGTCATAAGAAAAGGCAAGGGAAATATAACTTTAGAAGAGGTTGCTTAGATTATGTCTGATGTCATAAACGCTCTTGAATATATCCATAATTACAATATCATTCATAGAGATATTTCACCACAAAATATCCTTGTCTATGATGAGAAAACTTTTAAAATTTGCGATTTCGGGATTGCAACCTATGGAGAATTAACTTAGATTGCAGGAGGAAAAATTGATTATATAGCACCAGAAATCCACCAAATGACTGGTGAATATGATAAAATGATAGACATTTGGTCTCTTGGAGTACTTCTTCATTTTATATGTACTGGGGAAAGTACTTTTAATGGTAAACCAGCCTGTATTGCCAAAAAGGAGATAAACTAACTTCTTTTGCCACCTCAGTATGAATAATTCTAAGATATATTTAATCAAATGCTATCCTTAGAATCACAATAAAGACCCAAAATAACGCAACTAAAAGAATATTTCCAAAGTTTAATTGATAATACACCTGGTTTTTAATTAAAAAATTAGGAAATAATTTAGCACAGGTTCTCCTAGATTTATACATCACTATAAAAAGATCAAATTAATTTAACTGATTATTTTGAATCTTGCTAAAGTTTGACTATTAAGTATGCAGAAAATGAGTTGATTAAGTAAAATTAAAGTGCTATTGAGCAAAAAATATTTGAGATTTAATAATTGGCCAAATAATACATGGATATAGAAAATTCTACCTAAACCTTAGACTTTGATATTTTTAATATTGAGATTACATCATAAACATACAATTTATTATACCACAAGATTAATGCCAATTTAATAAGACAATATACTGAGATCGATCACCATTAAGATTAACAAGTAGGAGTGGCTGAGATTTCAAATATGATAATCCTAAGTAGTTTAAATTCTCCACTGAGAATAATTGATTAGGATTTTAAGCTTAAAAGTACGTGCAGCTTTATTACAGTGAAATTTCATAGCTAAGCAGATCAAATTCTATTTTCTAATGATAACTAGAATATATTTGTAATGTCGGGATTCACAGATGGCAATGTTAACATAAGGAAAGACATTTATTACAAATGTAAGAACACTATTAAAAATATAGAGTATATGACTGATGATATGTTTGCAGTATTTTAAGAAAAAGGGGTAATTCAATTATTTAGTCTATTTGATTCGAACTATGAGCAGAGTTTTCAAATTCTGGATTTTGATCGCATTACAGTGGCTTGCTTGATTAAGCAGACAGAAACAGAGTATACATATATTTTGGGAAGAGAAACTGAAAATCTTTGTTTGGTCAAATTTATAAAATAAGAGTTTTCTCAATTTGAGTTCTTCTACTAAATCCTGCAAATAAATGAAAATAATTGCTCTCAAATTATTGATATTGAGCATTCAAAAATAGCAATTATGTTCAATGATTAAACAAAAATGAATCTTGTTTTGTTTGATATTATTTAAGAATGTAGAATTTATTAGAAGTAATTGCCTAAGAATACAATGCTATTTACTGTTTTGCACTTTGATTACTATGACTATCCTTATGTATTCTTAAAGGATTCTTCTCAAATTAAACTAATGAATATCAGGAATTTTCAAGAAATTAATATCATCGATTCATTATATGAATGCTAAATACTTAGCAGTAATTGCTTGCTATAGGCAGAAGTTGAATAGAATGATGAAACTTAATAGTAAGATTAATAAAGTATTAATCTCATCTATGAATTAACAGATGTATAATTTTACTCAAAAGCAAAATTGCTAGGAAAACATTATGTATATGATATTCGATAGATTTATTTTGAAATGCCTTCTTACTGAATATATATATATTTTTAGTTAAATTTCTTATTTTTGTTATTTATTAAATTTATTTATCAAAAACTGATTTGGAGGTTCGGGGTTTTGGGGTTTTGGGGTTTTGGGGTTTTGGGGTTTTGGGG